AAGACAACATAATGTTATTATATGATTGATTAATTATTATTGTTTAACGCCGAGTCGGCAATATTTCAGCCATATTTCGACAATAATGTATTATAAAACAAACAAATGAAAAGATCAAATTACAATATTATAAAACAATCAAATAAAAAGATCAAATTAAAACTAACCCAGGAGACTAGGATCAAATGAACATACCGATCGCATTCAAACTGGAGTCAAAACCTATAAAAGTTCCATCCCATGCAAAGTCGGCCTTCGTGAGAGGAACTCCTAGGTTGTCGAGTTCCCTGAACGTTTTCAACTGGAGAGCGGTGTTTGCACGATTTAAGAACGATACTTCCAGTGTGTTGGACAAAGTGACTGTCCAAGGAATTGACGGTGTTGATGGGAATTGGACGTCTAACAATCCCAGGGATGACAAGATTCTCTCAGCTGTGGAATTACTAAATTCATTTGGCCCACTAAGATAATTCCTCAATATTTGTTTTAATTGGTTCGAAAACTTCGTAAAATATGACGTTTTAACCGTTATATCCTCTCTGTGTTTATTCCTATATTCTTCATGAAATTCTTCGTTAAGTAAGGAAAGCGTGGAATCTAAACAATGACCAGCCGAGAATGGAACACTGGAGTCATTCCCATAAATACCATCCATGCTTTTCCGTATAGCTAATGGGGTGTAGGGCAGGAGACCTGTCAACACGGCCCTCGTATAAATATACATGACAATGACGTCATCATTAGTCTGGTTAAACAATTGGTCAAGAGTCTGGAAGAAGGAGGGGTTAACAATTCTTATGGGCGTGTCTGAAAATGTTTGTTGATAAGGCAGCATGTATACCCATTCAATGTTGGGATACCTCTGTTCTAGTTCCTGGACTGTGATGTCGATGTTAGCTTCGAATCCAGTAAACAGGATAGCCTACAATAGTGGACGAGGTATTCAAAGGCAATTTTGATGCTGACTAAAAACTTATTTTCGCAGTACATTAAAATCATGATATTAACAATGTTAAAGAGTTGAAAAAATTAATTATCTAATAGAAGAGACCAAAAAAAAAAAAAAAAAAAAAAAAAAAAAAAAAAAAAAAAAACAACTAAAATCAAATAAGGGCAAATATGACTTTATTCAGAAATACAAAAAACATCTACGAAAAGAATAAATGCTGTATGAATTTCATGTCAAAAGATTTGATTGGTTTGATAAATAAAATGTTTTTACATTTTCATAGAATTATACACATTTAGCTCTAAAACTTCTACAAACAAACCTTAGCCAATTCTTGCTCAAAAGCGAAAACCTCCTTCATTTTTTCGATCAGAATATCCGTTATGTTTTCTCCTATGAGAAAAAAGTATCAATGAAAGAGTATTACGAGCTTAATTTTCAAATTTAGCTTTCTAATTTAGCCCTTGAGTAACATTGTACATATGATGGAACCTCAATTTTAGTGCAGGATAAATGTCTAATTTTAATGGGTTCCATAATTATATTTCATACAATATAAGCACGATCTTGTTTTTCTCTTAAGCACAGCAGAAAAAATAAGATATATGCTCATGAAATGTATGTAACATTGATTATATCATACCTGCAGTTTGTGGTCGTAAATTGATATTGACCTTTTGTAAGACAGGAACTATTCTCTCCAGATACTTTTTGGCTATCTGGAAGAAGAAATGGTACAAATACATACATCTATTGAAACCTTAGACAATTTCTGCTTTTATTTATTTTCAAATTCAGTATGAAAAAAATGAGTGCAATAGTTGAAGAATAACAAACACACTTCGAAACTCTTTTTCTCTCAAAGTAAAGAAACTATTTAAAATTTTTCTTAAAGGAAAACTAAATTTATTAAACTGCGGCATTAACGACAGTTTTATACAATGAGATCTCATTTGTAGCTACAGGTTTTCGAGCACTCACCGAGTTGTTTTCATAGGGTGATAAGTAGGCATCATCTTTCAGATACAGACTAGATGGAGAAAGCTGAAATATTTTTAAAAAGTAAATTGTTAAAGTCCGATTTAGAAAAGATTTAGGTAAAGTAAGTTTAAACGCCGAATCTAAATGAGGAGTTGTACATGTATTATGCTAAAATAGAAATACATGTACTTTGAACCTATTGATGTTTGATTTGTTGTTATTTTTGTTGATTATTTACTAGATTTGAATAAAACTAAAGTCTTTAAGAATTCAAGACTGAACTTGTTTATTCGTCACTAAAACAATTTTTAAATCTATAATCAGAAAGACGAACCAATTTGACCTCTAATAAATTCGATGATTAGTCATGAAACAACTTAGTTACAAATCTATTATTAAAAAGAGAGCTAAGCTTACCTGCAATATTTTTGTTGTTGTGTTGTCCACTACCGCTTTGACTAATCTGTAATCAAAAATCCCTGATCCGCCCATATCTGTGCCGACAATGAGGTGCATGGTGCTTATTCCCATAAAGGATTGTAGGTCACTCCCCACGCCTAAGATTTCCAATATTATCTGCATATCGCTTGTCACTAGAAAAAAGTATTTGAGATCAACATTTATAGTATCTTTTAAGAGTGTTTCACATATTCAAATAAATAACAAAATAGCAACAGCACAGAGGTTAATGACTAAGCATATGTAAAATCGTAGTATATGTCTGGAAGGAAAAAAACTACTAGAAATCAGAACAGCTAAAAGAGAAATCTTCATTTTAAGGATGATCATATATTTCAATAGCTCCTTTGACAGGGTTAATTACCTCTCTGTACCTGTTGTGGATCGTTGGACATTAGACAACTTTGGTAATGAAGTTTTAGCACCTGTAAATATTCGCTGTCATCAGAGGTAACATTGGATTCTACCATTGCTAAGAAAATAAATATAAAAAAAATTACACGATGGTTATGATCATTTGATAACAAATGCAATGTAAAAGAAAAATGGTGAAATGCAGAACAAAGGGAAAATGTGAAATTATTTAAATTCAAATAAACAATGAAAAAGTACCTTTTAACTCCTCTCTGAAATTAAAACGTACATCCTCTATCACAGAATTCCTGGACTCGTTGTACAGATTAAGAGCAACCAATGCTTCTCTTCCATACACCCATCCTCCACAAGCATACTGATAGAAATCGTCACAGGGATTTACAAACTCGTCCATTCGGGAATAAAGCAGGAAACCTAAAGAGTAACAGAATCCGGTCTGACACGTTTGTGGTTCAGTTACAGCGGGAGAGGTAGAGGGAACATTTACGGTTGTTGTTGGAATTTTTGTTGTTTTCGGAGAAGATGTCGTTGTGGGATTTATCTGAGTAGATGTAGTTGTTGATAAAGTTGTAGTTACTGTGATAGGAGCTGATGTTGTTATAGTAGTTGTCGGTGTAGTTGAGGATGTTCTAGTTGTAATTGTTGTAGTTGGAGTCATTGTTGGTCCTTTGGTTGTTGGTGTTGTTGTAGGTTTTTCTGTTGTTATTGGTCTTTTGGTTGTTATTGTTGTAGGTTTTTCGGTTGTCGTTATTTCGGTCGTTGTTGGTCTCTGGGTTGTTGGTCTCTCTGTTGTTGTTGTTGGTCTTTTGGTTGTTGTTGTAGATTTTTCGGTTGTCGTTGTTGGTCTTTGTGTTGTTGTTGGTCTCTCTGTTGTTGTTGTCGTAGGACTTTCGGTTGTTGTTGTCGATCTTTGAGTTGTTGGTTTTTGAGTTGTGGTCGGTCTTTGAGTTGTCGTTGTTGATCTCTGTGTTGTTGTTTTTTGCGTTGTTGTTGGCTTTTGTGTGGTTGTTGTTGTCGTTGGTCTTTGAGTAGTTGTGGTCGGTCTTTGAGTTGTCGTTGTTGATCTCTGGGTTGTCGTTGTCGGTCTTTGAGTTGTCGTTGTTGGTCTTTGGGTCGTAGTTGTTAATCTTAGAGTTGTTGTTGGTGGTGGTCTTTGAGTTGTCGTTGTTGGTCTCTGTGTTGTTGTTGTTTGTGTTGTTGGCTTTTGTGTAGTTGTTGTCGTTGGTTTTTGAGTGGTTGTTGTTGTGGTGGTTTTTAATGTTGTTGTAGTAGTTGTCTGAGGGGCTGGAGTGGTTGGTGGAATTGTGTAATTGGTTTTTTGGAAAAGATGACATTTATAAAGAGGATTCATTGGTGAGCCAAGAGGACAAGTAAATGCATCTATAAAAGCTTTTTCATTCATCAGGATTGTGTTTGCTCTGAAAGAAGAAAGTAAAAAAATTCACTTATAAGACATGTATTAATCAAAACCATATTGTACTCAATGTGTATTTATTACAATTGATATGACTGGGCAACAGCTCAGCATATTTGAGCCCTTTTCTAGTACATACATTGTATTATGCGTGTAGATCAATTATAACAACGAATGGCAATCACGATTCCTAACAGAGTCTATTGTGAAGTCTAGTTTTCGAAAGAGGATAACAATCCTTTGTCCACTCTGATGGGAACTGGGAAAAGAAACCAGTGATGCGAGACAAGTGAGGTCGCTCTTGTCGCTGCCTCAAGTAAAACAACTTCATGTATTCATTTTGGTTAGATATAAATAAAGAGGTCAAATGAGATTAATACTTTTTTTTCATTTGCCATGATTATTTGCAAAGTGCTGACCAGCAAATAATTTAACATACATGTACAATTTTAAACATTGATTTTAATATTTTGATGCTAATTATTCTACCTTAATTTGTTAGGTAATACATCCCCCGTTTTATCCACTTTGCACATTTCCTGTAACGATGAGATAAATAATCAGAATAGAAAGGAAATGAAGAATGTCCCTAAGTCTATAATATTTCTAAGTAGTATAAATCTTCAAAAGGGAGCAATACTTTAACATTTGACAGTTTCTTGTAGCTTGAAGGGTTCGCCTACCTGTGTCATGGACAGATAGAACAGCTGATCTGATTGTAGAGCTAAGAACGGGAACTGATATGTCCGCATCAAGTTATTTATTATCAACCTTCTGTGTTCCTGAAAAAAAAAAAAGAAAACAGTGATAGAAAATTGTTATTATCTGTATCACTCTGAATTTTTCTAAAGTCCTCTAGGTTTTTTTTGTCTTTAAACAAATGTTCATCCATACCTGTATCAATATATACAACCCTGCATGTCCTGATATTATCTGCTTTGTTTTGTCAATTCCGATGTCCTTAAAAAAATAAAAATAGAATAAAGAAGTACAATATCATTAACCTATTAAGAGAACAAAAATATTTTGATGCCATTGTTGCTTCCTCTTATTCCAAGGCCCATGTTCAGTCAAGGTTTAGCTGGGGACATTGATTAATTAACAACTAAATATCATATGAGTAAGGAGAACATTCACTTTATTTAAGTTATCATCATTAGCAGTGTGGTACAGTGTTTTGTTATTTATAAAGGATATCTTGTCAGGTTTCTAACTAATTAAAATGTTCAAAGTATACTTACATATGTCTCCTTTATATTGAAATGTTTGGAATTTTAGATATTATATTTTCTTTCCTTCTTTCAATTGTAAAACTTGAAACGGAAAGATTTAAATGAATTCTAAATCTAACGGGGACAATATTTTTGTGAGAATTTGTCAGAACAGAATCCATCCCTTGATGTGGCCTTCAATTCGACATTTAGATATATTGACTACGTTTAAGAAATTATTCGTTCGTAGAACATGACTTTGTCTATCGAATCAACTGGGAGACATAAACTGCATATGCAGGTGAAAATGGTATATTGTTACATAAATAAGAGAAGTTGAAGATAGAAAAGTTGGAATCATTACGTTTTTCTTAAAATTTAGTTGTTAGTTTGCCATCAATGTCTTTCTCTAGTAAAATATCCAAATATGAAACAGATCTGTATGTCTTTCAATTTTTAAACTGAAGCATGCTACTGACAAATAAGTTGATGTTACAGGCTTTCAACAATCACGCTTTAAATCAGTTTTTGCAAATTCTATGGTTGTTATAATCACCTAGTTTGCAAATAAAGCATATTTTTGGTTCGTATTTTGATTTTGTTTCATATCAATTATTAGGCCTTTGTTTTAACTACTAGTCATTTTGTTTTATTAATTAGAGGACTCACGAAGGGTGTAGTCAGTCGACATGGCATGGGATGCTTTCTCCTCCAGGACACCAGATTCCACCTCTGTTGTTTTCAAAGGTCCTTTTTTTGAGGTGTTTACAATTTGTATTGTTTAAAGAATTTATAAAATCGATCACCATTCGTTATCTTTACCTTTGATCATTTTCTTTTTATTTATTCTTTATTCATTTCTTTTCTTTATGATCCAATGGGAGACGTCCAAGCTCAAGGTTAAGTTAAAAACAAAGATATACTTCACGATGATAAGATATGTGAGACCTGATCAACATTATTTATTGATTCTTTACAATCAGATAGTGACCTATTCCGATCAAACATGTAGCCATGCATAAGAAAACCATGACTTACAGTTCTCTTTTCAAATAGTTGATTCATGAAGCAGTCATGTTTATCCTGATAATGTTGAAACGAGGCATCACTCCAGTCCTTGTTAGAAGATCGAACATCCAGCGCACCTTCAAAGACAATCATTGTATTCTTAAGAAAATAAGCATGCTTATTCCATGCAGTTTCTATTGCTGCCTAGTTTGTTAATCTTAAACCTAAAAACAAAAAGGGATATTTCCTTTACCATAAATAACATCTGTAACTTTCTCTGATATCAGTAACCCAACGGTCGTCAAAAACGGAAATTCTGGTCTCAGGTTTGTTTTCCATGTTAGTATTCCGTAAGAGATACCTATAAAACAACCATCAAGATAGCTGTCAATATCATCTAGACAATGATAAGGATTGAGAGGCATTATTAAGAATTCAGTTTCTGATTACAGGCAGGATAATTACATATGTACTTATCAAAGAGTATGATATCAAAGATATCTGACAATCCAGAAAAAACATTAACATTCTCATTTTTCCGTATACTCGTATAAAAAAACAACAACATCCAATACAGTTTCCATATCATGTCTTTTTACAATAATTAAACCGATGGATTTTTTCCAAATTCATTCTAGGCTTGTATTTTTTAATATTTTGTTACTATAATTATTTGAAACTCATTATATAAATGAAAAAAGGAAAGTCATTTACCCAGTGTATTAATGTCCTCGTCATACACAATATCGATAGTATACCACGGTATATTAGGTACTGAGTACACCTCTCCTATTCGGTTCATCAACCGGAAGGAGTGCGCCTGTTGAGCATAATTAGCTCTGAACAAGTGGAATACATCCTTGTTTGTGGAGAGCAGGACGGTCCAAGGAATGACAGGAATCGGTGCATTACTCAGAGTGAGAGAGGACAAAGTTTCAGTAATCTTCAATTTAGTTTTATCACTGTATCCTCCATAGGAAGAGAAAGACTTGATGCTTTGGTCTGTCAGATTTTTCACCAGAGAGGAAATGTACTCAAGTACAGGTTTAACATTTTGGTTTTGTTTTCCTGAATACTCTATTAGTACTTCCTCCGGAAGTAGTTCCAACGTACTATCTATACAGTACGTCTTTGTGTATTCTTGTGCAGTCTCTGTGTCATATAAATTGTCCATAAACTGGCGGGTGGATTTTGGAGCAAAGGGAATAATACCCGTAAGAATAACCCGGATGTACAGGTACATAATAAGGGTAGATTTCTCAGTCCTGCCAAGCATTCCATTCAGAGACGTAAAGTAGCTTGGATGATTGAGCTGAACAGGGGTGTTAGTTGAAAATTGTTGGCTTGGTAAAGCTTCCGTCCAGTTAATGTTTGGAAAGTTCTGTATAAGTGCACTGACGGGGTACAGTGCATTCTCTTCATTGGAAGATTTGGCAACACGGATAGCCTGTAAACAGTGTTACAGCAACAAATTAGCCTTATTGAAAAAATATTCTATTAACATGAGTTGACAATGAATGTAACTTTTCTCTTATCCTCATTCTGTTTGTAATTGTAATTGATTTTTTTTCTATTGAATAGAATGAATTTATTATATACTAACTAAGTTTAATGTATCGTGAACATTCTACCTGTGAGAGTTGTCTTTCGAATTCAAAGACCTCTTGAACTTTTGCCCGTAAAAGCCCATCAATTTGACCTAATATAACAGAATACCAAATTGTATTTTATGTCTGAATCAGACATAATCTCATTTACTAGTACTACATTTTTTATAAACAACTTGTGTTTTTGTAAAGGATTGTTTACTTTGTTTTAACAAGTGACGATTTGAATTTGAAATAAAGTACATTTTGAATGTTTCAAGTATCCACTTTATTGAGGAGAGAAATGTTGAATGGTTTTAACTTACCATTAGAAAAGGTTGGTCTGAGAAAGCTGTTGAAGCGCTGTATCAGAGGAACAACTCTATCTAAGTAACGTCTGCCTATCTGTATAAGGAACATTTTAGATATTCCATTTAGACATTATTTGCATAAAATATTAAAAATTTGTGTATCAAGATGTTATCACTTAATTTCTAAAGAACAAGACCTAACAAAGTGGGAGTTCGTAAAAAGTAGTCTGAAAAAGGACCATAGCGAGGAAAAGGGAAAATGCAAAGACTGTCTGCAAGAAAGAACCACAGACAAACATGTGGTATGAAAACAGTGTAATGATTAAGTGTTACTTTGAACAAGTACACAAATCGAATGTCTGAGAATGAATGGCAGCAAGGAAAATAATGATAAAAAAGTATGAAAGTATAAAAAGTATGAAAGAGTGAAGTCCAGCAAGAAAGAATCACAGTAGAAATCGTCTGAAGGAAAGAATTTCTACAAAATAGAGTCACAATGGAATGTTCCACAACAAAAACGAATCCAGTTATAAGATATCAGTTAGATGAAACACAGAAAGCAACAGCGAATATTAAACTTTTTTGTTGGGATGAACAACAGCGAAAAAGAAAAAAAACTTGTACTTAAAATTATAAATGGCCAAAAATGCAGATGACGTCATCAGTTTTCTGATAAAATGAACTAAAGAGAGATGAGAGAGAGGAACGCAATCAATTAGATACAGAAAAAGCCAAAGCCTGAAAATGGATACAATTTTGATTACGTTACGACTCTCGTGAATTGTTGAAATTTCACAATTTTATTACGATAATATGTGACGATAATAAACAGTGTTCATGCTCAAAAATCCATTTAAACAATAAAAATTGTGATCAGTTTCAACATGGACCTCTGAAAACAGAGGTGGGATCAGGTGCAATGGAGTAGTAGAATCCCCTGTCAACGGGTCACACCTGTCGCGTGCCCCCTCTCATGCTTGGTAAACAGGAAAATCCAAAGAAAATTCAGTATGAAAAAAATGGCCTTTTTCGACTTAACGACACATTGTATTGACTACAGAATTTGCGAAATGTTAACTCTTCATAGGATTGTTGATATCCTTATATCATCGTCTTCTTTGTGAATTGTCTGTCTCGTTTTAGAAATAATTCGTTCATAGAAACATGCTCTTGCGTATCCAATTAGTTTGGAGATATAAACTCCACATGCAGGTGATACTGGTATATTGCTACATGAATAAGGAAAGTTGAAGATAGAGAGAAGAAATTATTACGTTTATCAAAAGGTTTAGTTGCTATTTTGGCATCAATTTCTTTCTCTTGAAAAATATCCAAATATGTAACAGATGTGTCAAGCTCTGTGGTGTCTTTTATTTCGAGATGAATTGGATACATATTATCAACGTAAAAATCCAAATGAATATTGTTAATTGATAAAACGTCGTCAATACATGTTTATGTTGAATTCAAGGCTACAAGAAACTTCATTTTTTTGTAGACGTTTTGGATTAATTCTGCTCTATAAGAATACAAATCAGGTCAATGTATAACGGGACACATTTAGCACAAATGGGACATCAAGCAGATTGCTGAAAGACCTGGTCCCCCAAAACTATATTGTTATTGTCAATGAGAAACTCTAGCATCTTTTTTTTATATCGACCTTGGAGTGTATAAAAGCATAATGTTTTTTTTTCACATAATTGGTTCGCAGATGACATTGATAACGTATTCAAATTTGGGATTTCTATTTTTATTGTTGTCTACGATATCAAGAAGCATTGTCTTTACATTGCCTTGCAGAATGGCTGTATAAAATATGAAAAGTTGTTTTAATGCTATTGATTTTGATAAATTTTTGTGATTTCAATTTTTTGATAGTTCCTTGGAGTATCTAAGTATTCACATTCAATTAACACCAACTCTCGAGTATTCTGTTGTACAGTATTTCTAACAGTTCTCCTTGACTGTTGTTAATAAACCTAAATGAGATATGCTTTACGGATATAAGTTTTGAAATGAACTATATGGAGATGACGAACAGTATTCAAGCTCATAAGTCCATTCAAACAATACAAATCAGGATACAAACCCGGCCCCCAAAAAGTCAGAGGTGGGATCAGGTGCCATGGAGGAATGAGCATCCCCTGCCGACCGGTCACACCCGACATGTGTTCCTTGTCATGGTGGGGAAATAACGGAAAAATCAGTAGACAATTCATTGGGTAAATAATGGCCTAACAATTTGTATGAAAAACGTCAGCCAGCACTCAACTCAATGATAATTTGTATTTGCTGACAAGGTCATTGTATCGACCATAGAACAGGCGAAATGATGACTTTAAACGAGACTGTTGATATTCTTGTTTCATCAACTTGTTTGTCAATAATTTACCTCGCTTTAGATATTGTTTATACGTAGAGCATGCTCTTACGATCGAATCAAGTGAGAAATATAAACCCCATATGCAGGTGATCAGGATATATTGCTGCATAATTAAGGGAAGTTGACGATTGAAAAGTTAAAGTCATCACGTGCATAAAGCTTTGTTGTTAGATTACCATTAACGTCATTTTCTAGTAAAATATCCAAATATGAAACAGATGTATCAGACTCTGTGGTATCTTTTATTTCAAGCTCACTGGGATAAATCGTGTCGACATATGAATGGAAATAACTATTGTTAATTGATAATACTTCGATCGTTGATATATCTAAATGTCGAGTTGAAGACCGCAGCAAGAGTTTTCTTTTTCTCATGCATAAGATTTTGAATAGATTCTGTTTCGTATGAATACAAAAAGGTGGCGCAATTGGTACCCATGGGAATTCCAACAGATTGTTGGAAGACCTGGTCTCCAAAAAACCACATAGATATTGTCAATCAGAAACTCAGGCACCTTTTTAATATCAAATTCAGAGTACTTGTGTGTACAATTAGAATGTTATTTAACAAAATTATTTTGAATGACCAATGACAAGGTAAGTAAATTTACGAGTTCCATTTTTATTGAAAAAGCAATCGTCAATGATGTCAAAAAGCCTGGACTTTAATTTATCGTGGAGAATTGTTGTATATTAAAAGAAGACGATTCAAATCGATACTCTTACTTCCATTGTTTTCTAAATTGTCAGTTTGTGGAAATGAAGACTCCTTTCTCCGAAATATAAAGGTTTCACTCCCAAATCCATGGTAATCAAATGAACTTGTGAGGCAAAATGAAGTTATTGTGTGAATGAACCACAATGTGAAAAAACACAGTAAAATAAATCTATTAAGAAAGAACAGGGTCGTTTTTATACTACGAGCTTAATCCACCCAAGAAACAGGTGTTTGTGAGAATAAATAGAAGCACAGGACTAGTCTATTGAAGAAAGAGTAGAACAATATACTAGTAACTAAAGCTGTTAAAGAACTTAATTTGAAGAATGTTGGTTAACAACCTGAAATTGTTCCGGATTTCATTTTTAACAATTACAATCAATATTGCAGAAATTGTTTTTAAATGGTTTATGACATCTTCGAACTTTTGTTCTATTCAAATGCCATATGAAATACATTTTTTGAAAATGAAATACACCAGTTTTATTCTAAAATATTCAATACAAAGATCATGGGTGCTTTCTGAATACATGTACTAAATCATAAAAAAATCTGGGTCGAAGGTAACTAATATTATATTAAAACAAATTTCCAAATACAGCTATACATTATACCTCATTATCCTCATACGGCAGAAGATACACACTCTGTCTCAAGTACAAGTCAGGTGGAGATAGCTAAAAAACAGTATGTATCATACATTAATATCAAATACTAGTAACAGATCATTCAGTTCAGAGAGAAAGAATGAAAACGGTGCTTTTGTCTACTGCCATGGTCAACGTAATTATGCATTTCATGTAGATACTTAAAATATAAAATGAAAGCAAATATTGGTACAAAAAACAAACTAACAGAATTCCTTATTGGTTTTTAAGTTCAACAATTTTCGATGTTTCTCAAAATCAGGACAGGCCTTTTTTCCCTACATATACATAAAGTCAATGAATACAATCTATTTAAAAGCGTGTAAACTGCATGTGTCACATTTACCCAAGATTCTATCAATGATTTCTTTAATTATTTGTAATACAAACCTGAAGAATAGTTCGTTTTATATTTCCCACAACTCTGCTATTTACATCATACGTAAAGAATCCAAAAGCACCATAATCCGAGAAAAGGGAATACTGCATCACAGATGGCGTCATAAATGACGTCATAGAACTTCCTACGCCTAGAGATTCCAGTAAACTCTCCACATCCTTTGTTACTTGTTGGAGAAATATATGAAGAATCAGCAGTACATGTTTTCTCGATGAAAGAAACAACGATTGTTGAGGAATAAAGTTGTTGCAATTTTTTTGGTTACACATGTATCATGTGTATAGAATGCATTTAAAATCACATGAGCTAGTAATTAAAAATGCACCAATGTGTCTATTTTCGTCGTAGAGCATTGTTGATAAACTTTTAAATATACTTTGCTGCTTATCTAAAACTACTAACATTTTAAACATTTAGCCTCTTCTGGAAACAAAGACCATTAGTGGTGAATTCAAGGTCCAGATGTGGTTGACATCTTTCTATTAGCACTTATCATCTTACATATATCAAACAGTTCATCCTCTGAATGTCAAAGCACTCGTACTTAAATTTATTCAAGTAAAAGTTTTTTAGGTTAATAATCCATAGAGAATTTTTTAAACCAAATTGTCCATTAACCTTGACCTTTAAGAAACGGCCTTAAATTAAGATCATGACATTCTAAAGGGCAACAACATACTAATTTTAATAGTTTACTAGATTAGTGCCCCTTTGTCGTCGATTCAGATCTCAGGTTGGTTTTGAGAGTGTCGAATGACTTTTCTCTATTCTATAACTCATTAATTCTTAAATTTTAAAGAGACTTCGTTGCGTTGTAATAAAGTCCACCAAATTTTATACATACCGAGGCTACTATCAGGCCGGTTGTTAGAATCTAGGCAACTCTGGAAATGAAGCTTAGCGGCTGCCATGTAATCCGAGTCAGTGGAAGTAACTTCTTGTTCGAGCATTTCTAGAAAAATTATTCATAAAAACACACCAACAGTGATCTTACTATCTGCTAAACAGGAAGAAGATAAGACATACATATAGAGATCGTATTATTGACAAAAGTATCTCATCAAATCTTCACTACATTAAGTGAAAATAAAACGTCATTAGCGTCATTATAATTACACGAAGATACACTGAGCTTGTATAATTACCTATCAATCTTTGCATTAAGTTCAGCTTCACATCGCTCATTACGGAATTCCTATCAGCGTCAAAGACATTCATGTCTAGCAATACTTTTCTGCTTGAGATCCACGCCCCACAGGAGTAGCTGAAGAAATCTGAACACGGATCCACTGATGTATTCATTCTTCCAAGCATTTCATATGCCAGTGAACTGCAGAATGTGTCATCACAAAGCACCGGATCAGTCAAAGGTTGGGAGGTCGTAGTTGGTGACTGAGTTTGCAATGTTGTTTGCCTCGTTGTGATTTTAGGCTGTGACGAAGTAGGTGACGTAATAGTTGTAGTCTGCGACGTAGCAGATGATGTAGTTGTAGTAGGCTGTGACGTAGTGGATGATAGTGATGTAGATGGCTTTATTGTGGTTGTGGTCACCGCCTTTGTTGTTAGTGGTTTTGGCGCATCCGTGATAAATCGTGATGTGGTTGCTTTTGCGTTCGTCGGCTGCGATGTTTCTATTACTGCTGAACTCGTGGTTTTTAATGTCGTTGTAATCATTTTTGTTGTCCTTATAGTGTCTGTCTTTGGTTGTTGAGTTGTCTCTTGTATTGCACTTTTTGATGATGATACTATGGGGCAAGGAGTCTCACCATCGCTTATAAATGGAGATGCCACGCCCTTATCGTAAAAAGAAAACAAGACTTATAATTAATTAAAGTTTATTGATTGTTCCTTTGTTTTTAATGCACTATTATTATCATGAATACTGCCAAAGGATAAACAGTACTTAATTTCAGTTGTAAAACTATAGTGAATAGTGAGTTTCAGAAATGCTTCTTCTGCATGTTTGGTCCTAGATTTAATTTCATCCAATGAATGCACCTAAAATGTACCTAAGAAAATAGCAACTCCCAAAGACAAAAGCAACCGAATTTTAGCTTGATCTGAATCCACCAACATGTTTATTACCTTCTTATTTTGTTTTTAATGCATGGAATAAACTACAAAACTAACTGGTAAGTAATGACATGAGATACAGATTTAATTTCTTTATGTTTTCACCTTGCTCCCTGAAATACTCGGAAGAGACTACCATATTTTCTGGGTAAGAGAAGGGCCTCCTCATTTGTACGCATGATGATAATGCTTTCCAAAGTAGTCCTTTCAAAGCAATCTGAATAGTCAAAGTTTGATGGTGTATAATTGTATGAAGATAGCTAATTAAAATACATCGTGTATGCATTTGAGGTGGAAATGTACCACGTATATTTATGCACGCAGCTTTTGGGATACATTGCTCTTGTGGAAGATCGGCTTCATCCTTACCAGTCGTTTTTTCCCGCATCTCGAACAGGGAGGCACATCTTTCCAAATGTCAGTATGCTTTTAAGCTGTATTAGGGACATGGGGCTTTATTGTGAAAACAAAATCAAAAGCAGAAGGAGTGCTGCACTAGTACCTTTGTAGATTTCACAAACAACTTCGGCGATTACTCAAGAGATTTTCATTGCATGATTCGACATTTCTGATTTTGCATGCCACGCTATCGGATCCACAGTTATAAAATGTTTCCTTAATTTACCTTGAACCATGCTTTCACTGGAACTACTGGAATAATTTGACAATCAACCCAAGTAGAAATAAATGACTGGGTCAAGCGGTCTCAGTCCGTATACCATCTCTGTCAGAAATACAGCATAAGCATGCAATAGAGTTTTTATTGTTGGGAAGCAATAAAAGTTCTGGCTAACAAAGATAACCTAGATACACACTGCTATTTAAGGGCTCTGCTAAAACCTACATAACCTAGATAAGCACTGCTACTTAAGGGCTCTGCTATAGCCTACATAACCTAGACAAACACTGCTATTTAAGGGCTCTGCTATAGCCTACATAACCTAGACAAGCACTGCTATTTAAGGGCTCTGCTATAGCCTACAGAAGTTAGATCCATCGCTAAAGATTACTGTGCCGTAGAAGTCATCACTTATCTTTCTTTCACTCTAATGTCGTATACGTAAGAAATACTGAATTTCGTCTGTGTGCATCCTTACGCGTAGACTAACAAAAAAGAAAAATAGCAGGATAATATCCTAACACAGATTTAATATCAAGTTATGAAGTTCCTAACATATACATTGTTTTAGATAAAGCTCATTTGGGATAGTAAAAGCCAACCCAAATGTGACGTCCAAAACTCCTCTCCAAAGATAAACACTAGAACACCTAAATTCCTGAAAGAAAAATATATTACAGTGGAACAAATACCGTGTTAAGTCATCTGTAAAACGTTGCAAAGCACTGGTAGCCCCCTTATTAAGAGTGTAAAAAGCAAGATCAGCCGTATATTTTCTCCTCAGAGTCATTTAAGACCATATTTCTATATGCATTACAAATCCAGTAGTACCCGCATCCCCATGCTGGATCTGCTCATGCAGCCTGAATCAATCTCTTTATTTTGAGACCTGATCCTACACCAGATATTCTATGGACAGACCAATTTAACCATTTTGCTTCAAACCTGTCGGTAACACTTGGATTTTATGATATTCACTTTTTTAAAGCAGTGTACTTACTGGTTTTAACTGACTGATGTTGTTATCCATTGTTTTCAGAGATGACACTAAAATTCCAACAATGATGAGAAGAGCTAGAAGAGCAACAGCGATGTACAAGGTCATGCCGTATGCAAATTTTTTGAATGTGGAACACTTTTTGCTGTCATCCCTTGACCTTGGAGATTCGTCATTCTGGAATTGCTGCCACTGGTGAAGCCGATTCCTGGCAGAGACAGGGAAATAACTGAAGCGTTCCTCTGTTGTGCTCGGTGTCCCGAGGTCAAGCCGAAGATCATGGCTCGGCGAGTAAGCAAATTCGGTGGTTTCCGGGAGGTATGAAAATTCACGAGTACTCTGGAGGGAGGAAGGTGTTGTGAGAGCCGATTCTGTCTGAGCGTAAGGCGAGTGTACCGCGGTCGTCTGCAGTAGGGAAAGAATTTCTTTTGGTGGTTTTCTGGGCAATGTACGCATGGCAACCAATCGGATCTCACTGAAATAGCCATGGAATTCCTCATTAGAGTAGTTCCTAATATCACCCGTCCACCAAGACATAGTTATATTTTCAGAATCCTAAATGTCCATTTCCAGCACTTTTAGTCAGTGGTCATACTATAAGGGTACGGAATTGAATGTGTGAAAGCATGACCTCTAATGCAACAGATTAGCGCCCAGTTGTAAATTAAAATAGCGGATTAGAAAATAGGATTTGAATTCAACAATAAAAATTAAAAAGTGGTTTAAATGAAGTCCTATGATTTATTTTCAGTGCGGCGCAGAGGATTAAAAGTCTTACAGTGACCAACATGTCTTCTTGTATATTGAGATTTATATTTAAATTTGCTTATCAATCTACTGTCTTTTTCGCTGAAACAACGAAAATATAACGTTTAATTCCGATGCCATGCTTTACGTTTAAATTTATTAATCGACTTAAAAGATTGACAATGGGTAAAATTATTGAATATAAGTATTCGGGTCAAAAATTAAATATAAGCCGCAATATTTTTAGGTCAGCGCGATAGTTTTATGAGATTATTAACTCCTAAAGTTCATTTCTGTTTACTTTGTGTTTTCTTTTATCTACATTTTTTATTTTGGGTTCAGGGTCGTTTTGCTTTTAATTTCTTTTCCTTTATTTGATTTTTGCCTTGTTCATTAACATATTTGATATATAAATATATATTAATATATTTTTGACTGGATATCTTTTTCACTTGTTTTATTGTACACTGTACTTTTATTTATTTATTTATTTGCTTTTTTTATTTGTAAATGTATTATGTTTCATATTTTTAATATTTACATTCCACATGTATTTTGCTTATAAAGTGTGAGGAAAGCTAAGGCATTCAACACACCATAACACGGACGGGGGATCAAAAGGTTAAACTATGCGTTTTATTTTTACATCACAAATGTTGAGCATCGTAGAAATGCAACGTCATAAGCGAAAGTCAAAATTCACGTTCATATTGAACAGAAAGCTGTTGCAACGGCTCTTCCATTAATTGTAACTTACCCGAAGGATAATACTGGGATTTTAAAATATAAATCACTTTTGCAATCAAGGCAAGGAGTTAAAAAAATGTAAATATAAGCATTGAATCGTTATTTCTTGAAAGATATAGTCTCATAACTGCAACGGTGTGTGTTAACAATTTGTTTGCACACACCGTTGCAGTTATGAGACTATATCTTTCAAAAAATAATGATTTAATGCTTTTAAAATTATACTTGATGTGCTGATGGAGTAAAAACCTGATTACTTAGTGGTATATTATTATCTATTTTTTCGGTGGTTTAGCTTGGTGCTTCTATATATACATGTAGTAGGCAACTAAATGTATTCGAGACTTATGGTAGAGCTCATGTATAAGAGTTATTCAGGGGTAAAAAGGTCGCAAATTTACAGAAACAAATGAAATCATACATACACTTGATTGCTTCGGAAATCATAAACAATTATTTCTAGATGATAGAAGAGTTTCCCAAGCTTTCTTTATTCAAATTCAGGTGTCTCATGAAAGCGATCGAAAAGTATCAAGCAGACCGAAAAGTATTGCAGTTTACTGATTTTTAATTTTAGTATACTTATTTTAAAATAAAAATCAGAAAACGACAATAGGGACAGAAAATAGAAGAAACACAGAAAGGCAACTATGAAATAATGAATAATTACATACATACAACGGATGGCCAAAGAAAATGGGATAGGTCAAAAACAACAGGGCTAAGAACAATAGAAAGCGAGCTGAATCGTATAGGGTTGTCGTGGAACAGGGGATACAAGAGCAAAGGATGGAACTTGTTGGAGGGACTTTGTGGCTGACTTATGTTCCACCTGGCATGAAGAGGACTAATAACTAAGTAAAACATACCACCATACTTTCATCGTCTACAGCCTATAATATAATAATAAGTGAATTATTTTCTCGAGGACCAAACCGTAATGTAAGAGACATCATAGCTGTGTGGCGACAAAACGTGCAGTGAGGATTGCTTTGCTGATTCAATATTTGTATAGAACATTCCAGACAATGCTTAATTAGATTAAGGTCTGATGACCTTGAAGGTCAATCCATTCTCTCTAGTCTCTACCTCTAGGTACTGGTTCACAGTGCATGCTTGTCCTGAGTGGTATGGCGTTATCATCCATTAGAACGAATTCTGAATCTTTGGCTCCTTCAAATAACTGTACAATCTGATGAAAAATCTTCTATATTTGATACTCCATTTCGTATGACGTACA